GTTCTGATGGCACATCATTTGGTGTCATGAGGGTGTGGAAGATACCTAGTCTTGAGATTAATCTGTAATTTTTAGACCTAGAACTATGTCATTTACAAAATTGAGCACACCTGTGTGTGTGTGTGGCAGGTGTTGTTAGGATTGTAATATTCTTGGAGGGCTATTCCTCTAATTAGCACTAAGTGACCATCTTCTGACTAGTTTTGGCTGGTCTATTTTGTCTTATAATAGTTGTGCTCCCTTGTCTTAGTAAAGTTTCCTTTTTCTGGGATAACACACTAACACCACAATCAATTTGGTTTTTGTTGTTGGTTGGTTGGTTGGGGGGGGGGGATTCTATTTGAGAAAGTTATGAGCTACCATTTGGATGCTTGAAACTGAACCTGGGTCCTCTGAAAGAGCAGCCAGTGTTCTTAACCACCAAGCCATCTCTACAGCCCCAACCACAATCAAGTTGGAGAATAGAGATTCTTTTTTTTCTCTCTTCCACTTCCACATCACAGTCCATCACCATCAAAGGAAGTCAGGGCAGAAAATCAAGGCAAGAAATTTGAAGCAGGAACTGAAACAGAAGTCATGGAGGAATGCTGTTTACCAGCTTGTTCTTCATAGGTGACTCAACCTGCTTCCTTATACCATGCAGGACCACCTCACCAGGGACGACACTGTCCCCAAGTGGACTGGGCCCACCTACATCAATCATCAATCAAGAAAATGATCAGTGGGAATGGTAGTGAAACCCATTAATCCTGTGATAGAGTAAGGAGTGGGTGGTGAGGTTCTCTTTTATTCAAGGCCAATGTGTTCTACATAGCTAGTTCCAGATAATCCACAAATACCTAGTGGAGAGATGCTGTCCAAAAAAAACAAAACAAAACAAAAACAAAAAACAAAGAAACAACCGAACTATGAAATTCACTATTGGCTTTTCTACAGGAAGCTCTTATGGAAGAATTTTCTCAAATAAGAGTCCCTCTTCCCAAATGACTATTTATGTTATTTTGACACAAAACTAAGTTGAGCACCCCTTGTTTGTTGATTTTCTTTGACTTGAATACTTTTTCCCGTTCTTTTCTCCTAAGGGGGTATCTTACTAGCGTGAGGAGCATTTTTTGGATACAGCAAAAAGATGCTCTTTTTATGACATGCTGATCAGTTTCTCTTTATTGGGAAGCACAGACAGTAATACCAAGTGTAATTAATGGAATAGCATGGTAACGCATGCATTTATTCCCAGCACTTAGAAGGCAGAGACTAGTACATCTCTGTGATTTCAAGGCAAGACTGATCTATCTAGCATGTTGCAGGAACTTCAGGGTTAAATAAAAACCATATTCAAGAAAAACAAAACAACAGACAAACAAAAAAGGCCTAAGATATAAAGTAGTCTCAACGCTGAAAAACAATCAGTAAAAACTGTAAAATGTTCATCACACTAGGCCATCAGGAAAGGACAAATTTGGAAAAGGCAAATTAGGTGTATTTTGAGAATTCACCTTTCACAAGTCAGGGTTTCCAAGATTAAGAAAACAAATGATAATAAAGGACAGTCTTAGGGCTGGAGAGATGGCTCAGTAGTCAACAGTGTTTACTGCTCTTAAAGAGGAGTGGAATTTGTTCCCAGAACCTAAGTCTTGTAGCTTGCAAGTGCCTGTAACTCCAACCCCAATGGATCAAACACCTTCGTTAGGCCTCCATTGCTACCAACACTCTCATGTTCACATGCACATAGCAAACAAAACAAAAAACAGCTTGTGATTATATATTAAAATGTGAGAAACAAAAAACAATTTGAAGAAAGTATCTGTTGGTGGAATAGATGAAAAGAAAGTGTTGGGTTATAACTGTTGAGTACCAATAGTGTTGAAAGGAAAATAAAGAAGAAAACCAGAGCACAAAAAATGATACAACTATAGGCAGATTTAGATAAACCTATCTAAAAGAATTTATATATAGCATATCATTGCATAATACTCGGGGTGACTGTGACTGTCCTAACTGGTGTATGAGTGGCTCTTATATAGTAATTTATGGGAAGGCCTAAATTATGCCTGAATTATAATTTCTCCTTTTAAAAGTGTAGGTAAGCTTTGTTTTGTTTTATACCAATCATTGTAATTTTTTGTTATACCTTCATACTGGTGTATAAGACCTCATGGGTCAACAGAACTACCATTGTAATAATAATAATAATAATAATAATAATAATAATAATAATAATAATATAATTGTATTATTGCTATTACCACTGCTGCAGTTAAGGCTAATTTAGACTCCATTCCTTTAGTTACTGGGAATTTGGGAGGATACCGAGGCTCCTTTAGCCTTTTACCAGTATTTTAACTGCTGAGATGAGTCAGGGCCCTTGTTGACCATGTGGCTTCTCTTGGGAACACCAATAGCATTTTCCCTCTATGTTGATTCTCCCTTGTGTAGAATGTACACTGCTTAGATTGAACCTCTTTTTTTCCTTCTCAGAGTCTCTCTGATCTAGAGGTCAGGAAACTTACCTGACTTGGAGGAAATTTCAAGGTCACTTGTAGTCACATGAGACTTATTTGACCTGGATAGAGTCCAAATATTACTCTTCTGGTTTTAGTCCGTATTGGTACAGGTTTCCAAGTATGGGTATTGAATACCTAGAAGGACAGTTGTTCCAGAATTAAAGAAAAACAAAACAAAACACTTCTTTAATATTGAGCTGTTCTGGCTACAGAAATGGTGCAGTTGTTAAGAGCAATTATTCCTCTTTCAAAGGCCAGGAATTCAATTTTCAACAACCACTTGGTGACTCACAACTATTCATAACTTCAGTTCCAAGGACCTACAGCCCTCTTCTAACTCCAGAAGATGAGGACAAGATGAGGACACATACATGCAGGCAAACATTCATGCATGTAAAATAAAATAAATACATAAAAAACTTTTTAATTAAAATACAATTTGGTGGTTGTGTAACACAACTAAAGCTTGACTGAAAGATTTTCAAATAAAATTGATATAAACCTTGATATGTTAATTAGAAATCTGACATATTTATTGGAAAGTATAAGCAATTATTTTGAAAAAACATTAACATTTTGGATTTGCTTTTAGGCATATTAGTTACCAACTTAAGTAGTTACTTAAGAAAATCTGAAACCATAGGGATAAGTTATGTCTTTTTGTTTAAGGAATAACAGAGCCTAAAGGATCATCTCTGTTTTGGTTCCAGGGTTCTTAGTTCTTTCCTATTGCCATGAAAAGACTTCATGAAAAATGGCCCCCATAGGGAGTGGCACTATTAGGAGGCGTGGCCTTGTTGGAGGAAGTGTGTTATTGTGGAATGGGCTTTGAGGTTCCATGGGTTTTTATGTGTTGTGGCTTTTTTGTTCAGTTGACTGCACTAATTAATATATATTGTGTTTTTATTTTCATGCAATTTTAGTTTTTCAGAGTTTTTTTGTTTCTTGTTATTATTATCATTCAGTAGTGTGTTGTTTAGCTTCAGTGAATTTATTTACTTCCTGTAGTTTCTATTTCTGAAAATATCCAGCTTTATCCCTTTTTGGTCAGAGAGTGCTGATTGTTACTACATTTTTCTATATTTGATGAGACTTACTTTCTGTTTTAATATGTGGTTGGTTTTCGACTGACAAGGATACACACACACACACACACACACACACACACACACACACACACATATATATTTGTTGAGTGGATTGTTCTGAAGATGTCTTTTGGTTTATGATATTTAACTACAATGTTTCTTTTTGTTTAGATTTTTTCCAGACTCTGATTGCAATGCAAGCCAATTGAAATTCAACTCCTTGTCAAAAGATAGCCTTTTAATTAATTAATGCGAGGCTTCCTTCCTTCCTTCCTTCCTTCCTTCCTTCCTTCCTTCCTTCCTTCCTTCCCCCCTCCCTCCCTCCCTCCCTCCCTCCCTTCCTTCCTTCCATAGTCATCTCTTTATTGCCTCTTGTCCTCACTTCCCTTTCTTCTCTTCCTCTCACAGGAAGTACATCTGTGATGATCAGGTTTAATGACACATTTTAGTAGATAGAGCCCTGGAGAAAGTATTTGTGAATTCAATAGTTTACATTGGCTAAAACTTTAATATGACTGTGGAAGGCCTTGTCCGTCTTGTGAATGTTAAGGTGCTGAAGGAGAGATTTCATGGTAGAAAGAGCTATGGAAGTCATAGGAAGTTCAAGGGGGTGAACTTATTTGGCATCTCTCCCTTATCACCAGGAAATGTCCCTCTGTGAAGTTTCCTGTGCAGCAGTGTGTGTGATCCTGAGGTGTGAGGATAAGTTTACACTTGATAATGTAGGATATCTTTTTGGTCTGGGGCAAAGTTAAGGTCTCTGTCTCCAGTTCAAGATCTGTTTTTCCTCCCGAATCCTTTATAGAATATTGCTTCCAGGTAATTGTATTTTATACATTCATTCAGTAAGTGCATTTATCACAAATTCTTCACTGCCTTCACTGACTTGGGACCCTTCCTGTTATGGTCATGGGTTTTCTTTAAGGGCACTGAATCCGGCATGTCCAAAAGCCACCCTATGGCTCTATTTTATGTGGAATAAACATTAGGAACTCACTGATCACGAGGAAGCGAGTCTGTGCACTAAAATCCCAGAGGGTGTTACCCTTAAATGCAATTATCTCTCGGATTTACTCCAAAGGGACCGCCTGGGTTACGATTGGGTGTTGCTTTTATCTACCATTTTTATTTGCTCCCGTGACGGGAAAGGATGTTGGTCCTGCTACTCATGAATAAGAAGGCGGGTCCAGCAGCTTTTGCCAATCAGGGACGCTGTTACTTCCTTGCTGGAACTGTCAAATGAGGAACAAGAATGTTCTGGGGTTTCCGCCCCTGGCTCCATTTTTGAATCCGGTGTAGCTTTTGTGAGGTGTGTGACAGCTGGTGTCAGTCAGTGTCACCTATTCTGACGTCAGGCCCCTCAGAGAGGACCACTGAATGCGTCCTAAGCAGGAAATGGTGAGTGCGCGGTGGCTCCTGGAGTCCTGGGCCGCGCGGCCTTGGTGCAACCTGGCGCCGCCGACTAGACAGTCCCCTGGCACTTTGCTTCAGAGTCTGAGCTGGAGTCTGGCACCCCCGAGCCGGCAGCTGGCAGTCGGGAGGCCCCTCCTATCCTGTCGCTGTGAAAAGGCTTCATTCTGGTCCCCAGCCTGTCATGGAAATCCGCGTTGAACCTGCGCCTCCACAGACAAAGCAGCGCTAGCGGGTTGGTGACGCGGAGTCCGGGCTGTGCTGCGAAGGGACGTGGGTGGTGAGCGTTGCTGCCCGTCTGCCCTTGCACACTTGCGTTTGATCTGCTTTATTGTTTCCTGTGATCTCTTTGGTGTTGTATTGGTTTTACTCTAGGCTGCGTCTGCAAACAGAAGGGATCTGTAATGTGAGTTTATTTTTATTTTATTTTATTTTTTTCGGTTTTTCTATCCCGGAGCTCCATACGTAGCTGTCGATGACCTTGAACTTGTGGTCCACTTTCGTTCACTTCCCAAGTTTTGGGGTTGCAAGGCACGAGTCACCACACTTGGTTTGATGTGCTGGGGAGGAAACAGAGGGAGGGAGTTCCTGCATATTAAGCAGACGCGCTGCCGAGTGAGCCACATCCTCAGCCCTGCTGTGCAATTTTAAAAGTAGGTCGTTTTTCTCCCTAAGATTCTGGCAAGAAGATCCCAAGGCCTTCTGAGTTTCCTCAGCAGCAGGTGTGACACTGATTGCTTAGCACAATCCTCTTTTATGGCAAACACTGAATGCATACTAATGCGGTAATAGTACATTTTTTTGAGGCAATGTAGCTTTTGCTGGCCTGGAACTTGCTGTGTTGATGACGCTGGCCTTGGACTGACCAAGATCAGCTTGCCTCTGGCTCCCAGGAGCTAGGACTAAAGATAAATGCCACCATACCCAGCCTTGGGATATACAATGTTCAAGTATGTTATCATGATTCTCTGAATTTTGGGGTATCTATTGTAATGCCTCCTTTCTCATCTCTTATTTTATTAATGGGTGTCTTTTCGCTCTTGTTTAATTTGGCTTATGAAACATGTTTATCTTTTCAAACACCAACTCTTAATTTTTTGGTTCTATTTTTTTAATTTATTTTTTTATATTGAGGTGTTTTGTTTTTGTTTTTGTTTGTTTATTTGTTTTTACATATATGAGCTAGTGTTTTTCCCTCCTGAAAATGAAGTTATAAGTGGCTCTGATCTGCTGTGTTGGTCCTGGGAACTAAATTCAGATCCTCCTTTGAGTCGTCCACTTTGGTAGGGGTTTTTGTGTTTTGTTTTGTTTTTTTCTTCCCACTTTTGTTTCATTAATTTCAGCCATGATCTTCATTACTTCTTCCATTTAGTGATTTGGAGTTTTAGTTCTTGTTTTCTCGATACCTAAGGTCCTTCTTTAGGTTGTTTATCAGAGAGCTGATTTTTTTGAAAAACACGTATTTTGTTTGGTGTGTGTGTGCGTGTGCGTGTGTGTGCGTGCGTGCATGCGTGCGTGCGTGCGTGCGTGTGTGTGTGTGTGTGTGTGTGTGTGTACGTACTTGGGTTTCTGCAGAGGGCAGAAGAAGCTGTTGGATCCCCTAGAGCTGGAAGTATATTCAGTTGTAAGCCACCCATTATGGGAGCTGAGAAGCAAACTTGAGTCCTCTGGGAGAGCCACAAGCATCCTAACTGCTGAGCCATCTCTCCAGCTTCCTGTCTGATTACCCGCCCCCACCCCAAAGTATAAACTTGTATTTTGTAGGAAATGCTTGCAGAATAATAACACCCTAAATCCCAAGATGACACATTCCCCTTGACCTCCAAAGAGGGATGGGTAGATCTCATCCCACTGTGCAGGGGTAAAAATGACTTGATGGTCTTCAAGGTAACAGCAGATTCTTCTCGCAAACCTGGGGTGGTAAGACACAGTTTCATTAGTATCATCCCTCTAGCGTGAAGCCAGGGCTTTGTGCTTTGGGGTTAGAAACTGGGGTACAGGAGAATAAGGGGGGTATGAAACCTGAGATTCTTGCCTGTGGAACTGGGAGGAGATGAGGAGGTCCTGCCTTAAACCTGCAAGGGGACAGGTGGGCTTCTGCTGCCTGGCGGGCTCAGGTCCGAGCAGTACAGAGCCCCTAATTCCACACTTGCAACTTGCAGGCCTGTGGAACTCTATTGCCTGAGGACAAGTCAGAGGTCCAGAGTTTTCTTTGGGACTTTAGGGGGAGTTAAGGTATGAGTGAGAGGTAAATGGCATGGTCATTGCGGTGTGTGTGTGTGTGTGTGTGTGTGTGTGTGTGTGTGTGTGTGTGTGTGTGTGTGTGTGTTGCAGTCTTAGACAGTTCTTTGAGTCAGAAGTAGTGCAGAAAGATACACTGAACTCCCTGCCACATGAGATGAAAGCTCCAGTTTTCCAGTTATGCAGGTTTCTCTGAGTCAGAAATTGTAGATTGGAGGTCATAGTGGAGCCACTAAGGTAGAAATCACAGAGAATGCATGGTTGATAGCTCATCACTGGCTGAAAGTCAGGGTGTTCTAGATCCCTGGTGGAAAGCTGAGGGATCAAGGGTGAAAGGTGAGAGATCAGAGTCCCTGATCCTTACTGGTACGTGTCCTGTGACATGGTGGGACTTGGAGGGGCCAGGGTATACAGGGTACCATAATGTAGTTGATAACTATTCATTAAGTCTTTTTCTTTATCTTTGAGACCCAGAGACATCCCCTAAACATCAGGAGGTCCTGGAGGCAGTAGGAGGGAGGGTCCCAGGCCTCTGAACTCCAACACCACAAAGAGCTAGGAGGGGAGGGAGGAAATCCCTCTTGTCTGATTTTGTTGTTATTGTCTTTGCTTTTTTGGTTTGGTTTGGTTTGATTTTTTTTTTTTTTCAAGACATAGTTTCCCTGTTTAGACTTGGCTGCCCTGGAACTCACTCTGTAGACCAGGCTAGCCTCAAGCTCAGAGATCCACCTGCCTCTGCCTCCCAAGTGCTGGGATTAAAAGTGTGCACCACCACCACCTAGCCTCTCTTGTATGATTTTTTTTAACCATAGAAAGATGAGTTATAAATTTCCCTGTTAGTACTGTCTTCATTGTATTTTATCTGTTTTCTTCCATTATGCCTTCATTTTTATTTAATTCAAGGAAGCACTTGATCTCCTTTAGTTCTTCAACGACACATTCCTCATTCAGTAGTGTGTTATTTAATCTCTATTAGTTTGTAGATTTTTTGTATTTCTGTTGCTATTGTCTTTCAGTCTTATTGCATTGTGATCAGTTAGAATACAAGACATCCATTTAGGCTTTCTTCATTTGTTGAAACTTGCTTTGTATCCTCATATAGAGACTTTCCATTAGTGACTTAGAAGTGTGTGTATTCTCTTGTGTTTGAGTGGAATATTCTTTGTGTGTTTAATTGGTTCATTTGTTTAGTGGCGTCATTCATTCTCTTTGTTTGTTTATTGGTTGTTTGTGACTCAGTCTCAATTATAGAGCTCCAGCTTGCCTGGAACTTGCTATGTAGACCAAGATGGTCTGAAATTCATGGAGATCTACCTGTCTCTACCTTGTGTGTGCTGGGATTAAAGGCATACCCTATCACATCTGACCTCATTGTGTCATTTAATTACAGATTTTCTTTATTTTATTTTTTTTATCTAGTTCATTAGTTGAACGGTGAGTTGGGTATTGAAGTCATGGAGTATTACTGAATTCAAATAAATCTCTGACTTTATATGTAGTTGTTCTGTGATGGCATTCTTTTGGAGATATGACCAATCATCTTTTCAAGTCAGACAGAAAACCAACAATAGACTAAAGTATGGCTACTACCAAAGTCCAGCTTGGCGAACCAATGAGTTTTATTGGGATGATTACAGAAATATAAGTGAAGAGTTACTTACAGGGTCCGAAATGAATCAAAGACAGCTGCATCACCAAAGCCAACTGTAGGGTGGATGATAGCTCAGGAATGCTGGTTACCTTGCATAGCCTATACGCAGCTCAGCAGGTTGGATGCTGTCCTTTGCAGTTACTTCAACTGGTTTGACCTTCTTTCAAGCAGGTTGGCTAGTCTCTGCTTTTTCCAGGCTGCTCTGCTTGTAAGAAGGAACCAAACTGAAGCCATTTGAATAGAACTTCCATTTTGATGAAAGGTCAAATAAAGTTTAACTTTCCAAGACATTCCTAGGTAACTGGCATTACTGACATCCTGGTTGCCAAGTTGAGGCATGATTGATGGGCAAACTGCCCAGCCATCACAGTAAAACACCCAATGAGAAGAAATGTCCCTCGGAAAGCTCCTGATCCCTGAATCCCAGTTGGTGGAAAATATAACTGTAACTTGGCACAGATATTTGTGGGTTTTGTGCTTAAAAACTGTAATATTCGCCGGGCGTTGGTGGCGCACGCCTTTAATCCCAGCACTCGGGAGGCAGAGGCAGGCGGATCTCTGTGAG